GGATTAAGTCCCCACCAGCAGGAGACATTCAGAGTCCTCAAGGGACCAAAAAATCATGCTATAGAATTAGTAAGGTCAGAGAAGAAATGATGAAATTCTTACATGGGGCAGGATCTTGGCCTGAGACATGAAGCGGAACAGGATGCGCCCCAGTGCACATTTTTAATAAAGGAAGGAAGGTTTAGGCTGCATTCCCAGATGGCTTATGAGACCCTCTGGCAGCTCAAGCACCAGGTGATGAACCCTGCCCAGCACTGCCAAATAAAATGGACTGGAGGATGCACGGCTCTGTAGCATGATACCCACAACTCCAGGAAGACTGGCTTCTCTGGAAATATTAAAAGTTAAAAGCTCAGCTGAGCTCTCTGCTCTCTTCCACTTCCTAAAGAGCATAACTCCGCTGGGCTCCTGGGTCCTGTCAAGTTAGCATAGCTGGGGTCTCCTCTAGCACCATCGCAATGATCCACAGGACTCCTGCCGTGTTCACAGGACTGAAGGGACTGCTGCTGTGCCTTGAGTTGAGGGGGAAGATGGTGCACAGGACAAAGCTCAAAGCTAATGACTCACTTGCTAGTGTCAATACCTCTGATGAAGTCCCCAAGGGTCACCACACCCACAGCACAGTAATCACTGGGGTTGATACTGTCATAAACCATTGCTGGCAGAACATCAGATTCAAAAAGACGCCTACAAGAAATATGACAAAGATCACATGAAATCTGTCTGAGGCCAACTTAAAGATCAGAGCCATGAAAGAATAAAACCTTTTATGACAGGCTGCAGAACACATCCAGCACATCTTCGCCAATTTCTAAAACCACCAGTTCTTTGCTAGTGAAGGTGTGGGAAAGATGGCAGCAGGAAGATAGTGGTTGAGGCCCAGAGAAAGAGGACCCTTGAACAGAACCAGGGTATAAGCACTGCTGACAATCAGCTCCTCCAACCCAGCCTATCCTAGGCACCAGAGATGAGTATAAGAGATAAGTACATCATGAAAAACTCGCACCCTAATCGGACTCTGATAATTCAGACAGCCAGGGTTCTGGAGCAAAATCAGGCCTTATTATGCTGCAGAGAATAGCTGCTTTGGAGAACAAGGTCCTGGAGTGTATTTTTGTGGAGATGGAGCACCTAAGTGTGGGCATCACATGAGTATGAAGCTGGAGCTGTCCATCACACAGTCGGTGTGGTCAGACCCGCCATGTGGAAAGACTGTGACAGTGGCAGCAGCAATTCACTCTATTGTGGAAATGGCATGGACAGGGTTGGATGTAAGAAAACACATAAGGGACACATGACTTACACAAGCATTGGCCCAACCCTCCAATCGTCCCACATCTGTTGCATCTACGCTAAGCCCAACCCTTGAAGAGTGTTCCCTTGAGAAGCAGTTCTGAGAACCTCAATGAACAGGATAGTCTATCCACAGATGTGTCAGCCAGCCTGTATATCTGGCCACCATAGTTCTTACAAAATGATCCCATGAGTGGAGTAGTCACAGTGGTGGGGTGAGGACAGGTGTTGGTACCACAGCATAATCTCCCTTCCGCCGAGGCTGATCTAGTTTTTGCCACTGCCACCTGCCTGACTGTGGAGCATACAGACTGATCCCAGCCATCAACAGGATACCATCTTTAGAGCAGAACAGCCAGCTGGTCCTATCTCATCTTACTTTTCTCATTGCTAAGACAAAAAACTCAACACCTAAAGTTAAAGGCAGAAAGGTTTATTTTGGCTCACAGTTTGTAGAGGTTTCATTTCATAGTTGACTGACTCCAAGGCAGGGTGACATGGCAAAGGGGCATTGCAGAAGAGAAACAGTCCATGGTATGGTGGGCCAGGCAGAAGGCAGTAAAAACAATGAAGTAGCAAAAGAGTAGTAGCCTCAGCAGCCTGCCTCTCCTTTTTTTTTTTCCTTCCAGGCTACCTACCCTTTGGGTGGTGCCATCACACCCAGGGTGGGCCTTCCCATTATCCACACTGGGAACTATACCAAACCAATCAGCAGACTAATTTAATAACAACACACCCTTAATCCCAACATCACACACCCTAGAACCAGTCTCCTTTGAAAAGCCCCACCTATAACTTCATGAGGATTTGGGGTACATCTAGACACAAGATGTAACATGTCCTATCCCTTAGAGTAACTCAATTAGTTGATCTGAGTGTACTCAGCCAAAATTCAGCACTTAATGAAGTGGCATTGCCACCATAATGGGTCAGGTACAAAGCATGCTGACCTCTTTGGATCACAGAGGTGACCTACATCTCAGTCAGGCATGCTGCTGCAAAGTTGTTAGAGGACAAAAAAATACTTCCCCAAGACATGTCTATGAAAAGAAAATCTTTTTAAAAATCTCTACAATCTCAGAACTACTAAGGGAGCACATTAAGATCATCGGATACAAGATCAATTCAAAAATCAAACATATTCTCTATACTGATGATGAACAAGAGGAAGTTGATATTTAAAATGCAATTTTATTATAAATGCCCCGTCATGCCTGGTGGAGAAGGCTGTGGGTGAGAAAGGTTGTTGCAGAACACCATGTCCCAGCCTCTCAGTTCCAGGAAGTCTGAGTACATCTGCACTGCTGCCCATTCTGTGGGACTGCATAACTTTGTGGGGTTTTTTTTGTTTTTTTTTTTTGGTTATATTGAGACAGGGTCTCACTATGTAGTTGAGACTTACCTGGAACTCACTATGTAGCCTAGGCTGGTCTCGAACTCACAGCAATCCTCCTGCCTAGGCCTCCCGAGGGCTGGAATCACAGGTGTGTGCCACCACGCCTGGCTGGGACTGCATAACTTTGTAATATTAAATTCCTAGTCTCAACTGTGATTAATGTAAATTAACAGGTGAATGGTTTTGTAATTCTGAGCGAATAGATAAAATTGTTTCACTCCTTGTCTGCCTGGAAGGAATGTTTTAAAACTTTGGGACATTCTGTAAGCATCTGTTAACCATCAACACTTGACCGGTGGCTGCCCAATACGTGACTGCTGACCACCAGCCAAGATCAGCAGACCATTAACCTTTGCCTCCTGCCTATGTGCTTTGATGTAGACCCCCACCCTGCCTATCCCCTTATAAAAACAGCCTAAGCCCCTGAGCTGAAGCCTCTCTGAGCTACTTGGCTCCAGGAGTGCCATCTGCCCAGACTAATAAAGGTCTGTTTTCCAACTAGTCCAGTGTGTTCCTTCCTGGGTGATTCTCGCTGCTCGTCAAGTTCCTGGAAGTAAGGCCCTAGGTCTTACACCTGGAACAGTCACTGGGCTATAAGCCCAGCATTTTGGAGGCCCTTTCAGCTGTTCAAGCTCCTTGGAGTGGAAGTAAGGCCCTAGGTCTTACAATTCTGAGGAGTATGGCCACATTATTTTGGCCCTCCAAATTCCTCAAGACACAACCTCCTCTTTCCAAATCAACCCCCAGTATCCACCCCCCTTTAAAGCCTTTGTTCTCCCCTCCACAAGTGCTGACTCTCTTTCTGGATTCAGCCCACTTGCACAGAAGTGAATAAACAACCTCCTTGCTCACACAAAGCCTGCCCTGGTGGTCTCTTCACTCTATGCCTTCAATATGCTCCCCCAAAATAACATATTTAGGCATAAATTTAATAAAAACATGTTCAGGTTCTGTATGATAAAAATTACAAAAATGCTGATAAAATAAATACAAAACCTAAATACTTGAAGAGATATATATGTTCATGGATTAGAAGATTCACATAGGAAAAAGTATCACTTTTACCCAAAATTAATTACACATTTGACTCAATTACTAACAAAATTTTAGCAAGGTTTGCTTCTTTGTAGACATAGACAAATTTATTTTAAAATTTATATGTAAAGGAAACAACTCTTAAAAAAAAAAGAATTAGGGTTGAGTATATATCTCAGCAGTAAAAGCATGTACTTATTACGCACGAGGTTCTGGGTCAATCCCTAGCACCAAAAAGGAGAAGGGAGAGGAGGAGGAGAAAAGGACTAGAAGGAGAAAAGGAAGGGGAAGAGGAAGGAAAATAAGAAGAGTAAGAGGAGGAGGTGAGAGAAATCACTTTTCCCGGTCTTAAGGCTGTTTATGTAGCTATCCTAATGAAGAGAGTGTGGTATTTACAGAGTTAAATAGATCCATGGAGAACCCCAAAATAGGTATACACAAACATGCCCAATTAATTTTTGACAAAGAAGTACAGTAATGAATGGTGCTAGAGCAATTGGACATCTATAGTTTTTTCAGCAGAAAACTGACACAAACCACACATTCTACCATATTTAGCTCAAGATGGATCAGAGAGTTAAATGTAAAACATAAAACTCCAAAACTTTTAGGAAAAAAAAATATGTAGTTGAAAACCTTTGGAATCTAGGACAAGGCAGAGTTCTTGGAATTAATTCTAAAAGCAAAATGCTTAAGAGAAAAAATGATAAACTGTATTTCATCTAAGATAACTTTTGCTCTGCTAAAGTCCCATTAAAATAATGCAATTGTAGGGATGGTGCACAGTAGGTAATGAAAAGCAAAGTCAAAGAACTCATTGAACTTTATTAAAAATAGCTTCGACCTCTGCAGCCAGACGCCACCATTTAGAAGGGAAAAAGCAACTAGACTCTGAGGAATTAGAAAGACAAAGGTAGGACTCAAGCAATTAGGGAGACAAAGACAAAGAACTCAGGACCAGGAAGTTCCTAGGTAGTGCAATTAATTTAAGAATCACAAACTTCCCCTTCACTTAATCCTTTAGCCTAAGCTTCTTTTCCATAAGGGCCCCACTCACAATTTTACCCTCTACCAAAGGACAGGGAAAGGTCCCATGGCCAGAAGAAATCCAAGGTTAGGATAAAGTACAAGTCAGAGAGCCAGTCAGATTCCAAGAGCCTTTGTGGAAAAAAGATCTCAATAAAAGGAACCGCAGACAAGAGACACTTATTTTTTTTAAACTTCTGACTACTTATTTAAGACAGACGTTCCATATCCATAACTCTATCCACTCCAAAGTTCTTAGAGACGATGCCATCAGCCTTGGCCAATCGTAGAATAGTCATCTGATTCACCCATCCTGCGAATGGCCCCGCAGATGGCATAGGTCTTAAACTGGTCGTTAAACCTGCCAGTGACCTTGTCACCCTCGGCCACATTCATCTGGATGGACGTGTGGTCTTTGGCACCTATAATGCGGTTGCTGGCGGAGCATTTCCGCAGCACATACAGGTCCATGAACTCACCCTCCTAGGTCTTCATATTGAGGCCCGGCCTGCGAGACCTATTCACTTTCTTTTTCTTTTTCTTTCGGGTGCTGGGGATCCGGCCCTGAGCCAAATCTCGGGCCCCTGAGCTATTCATTTCCAAGTATTCCCTACTTGTCCAGAGTAGCTGTCTGGCACGTCTTTGTCTCTTCCCACCCCTCTCCCTTTTCCCCCTGTCCCCCCCTTCAAATAAATTGCCTTTTTTTTTTTTTTCTTTTTACCACTTCTGTAATTCTTTTACCAGTGCTGGGTTTGAGATCACCAGGAGCTGCATGTTCCAGCAGGGCAGCGGCGTGCTATCCACTGCTGGACACTGCAGTGTGGCGTGGTGTACAACCCTCCCCAGATGTTGCAAAAAGGCAATTATGGACTTGAATAAAAAATATTTTTAAAATCTTATATTCAACACAGGACTTATGTCTAAAAAAATACAAAGAACTCTCAAAACTCTTTGGTATTAAGAAATAATCCAAGTGGAAAGTGAGCAAGAGATACACACAGACATTTTACCAAAGAGGACACGACACTTACGGGTAAAATAAGATGTCGGACATCAATAGCAATTGTGAAAATGCAACTGAAGACCACAGTGAGCTATTAACTACAACCTATCAGAGTCACAAAAATAGTGACAACACCAACTGCTGGCGAGGGTGCAGAGAAATTTGACCCCTGGCTCCTTGCTGGTGGGAATGTAAAATGATTACAACCATTCCGAAAACAGTTGGACAGTTTCTTCAAAACTAAACATGAAACTATTACAAAACCGGCCATTGCAATCTCAACCACTAATCTCAGAGAAATGAAAATGCATTTATGCTCACACAAAAGCCTGTGCATGAATGGTCATAGCTGTTTTATTTATGACAGCTCAAAACTAGGAACTACCCAAATTCCTCCAACTAGTGAATGGCTAAACTGGTAAATTTGTACCATGGAAAAACTACCCAATAATAAAAGGAGCAAACCACTGATATATACAATTTGGGTGAACGTCTTAATCACTTTCTTTGTTGCTGGGACAAAATAACCCACATCCACAAATTAGAGGAGAGGTTTATTTTGGCTCACAGTTTGTAGAGGTTTTAGTCTGTAGCAGGCTGGCTCCGAGGCAGGACAGCATGGTGCAAGGGCCTGGTGGAGGAGAGCGGCTCAGGGCACAGCTGCGGGGAAGCAGAGAGAGGTGAAGGGAGGAGCCAGGAAGAGAGATAAACCCTACAAATCCCTGTCCCAGGTGACCACCTCTTCCGACCAGACCCCCACCTCTCATCAGCAAACCAGTTATGCTGCTTCTGTAAAACCAGTCAGCACTCACAGCCCCACCTATGATCACACGAGGCAGTGGGGGGACCCATCTAGATATAAACCATAACAGTGAATCTCATTAAAATGATTCTGAGGGGGGGAGTGACCCAGACAACTTCAAAAAGATGCATACTGCAGGGTTCCATTTATATATCAACCGTAAAATAACAGAATTATAGAGATGGAGAGCAAGTGTGTAGTTGCCAAGAGTTAAACACGGGGCAGGTAGAGGATGATATTGTTGCCAGATGGCGTGATATCTAGTGATTTCAGGCTCTTTCTGTCTTGCCCAAAGAATTGGTTGGGACAACTGATGAAGAGGTAAACATCACTTTTATTTAAAGTAAAAGAAGAAAAGAAAAGAGAGCAGATCAACAAGAGATATGTCCCATAAGTAGGACAGGCCACTGAAGAAATAGGAAGGCATCAGAACAGGAAGACTTCAGTGGTGGGTAATGGCCACTGTCTTTTATACTCTCTCAGATCCAGCCTGTAGGAAATCGCTCTGTTACACATCCTGGCCATAGTCAACAAGTCACATCCTGTTGATCAGCCTCTGTTCTGGCTCAGGTTACATCCTGTTTTCAGCAAGCTTGCCATGCCCTAATCTCCCGCCTCAATGCGGCTGTAAAGTGGTATCTCGAGGGAATTGTGTAGTGATGACAGACTTAAGCATGTAGATTGTGGTCGTAGGTTACAAAAAAACTACACACATGACCAAAGTGCACAGAGATACACACCCATGAATACTTACGTAATGGGGGAAATCTGAATGAGGTCTATAAATTGTACAAATGTCACCTTCTTGTTATTTTGCTACAGTTATGCAAGAAGTCAGCACTGGAAGAGGGTGTGTGAAAGATGCAGACTTTCTCTGTACAGTTTTTGTAGCTTCCTATGACTCTCCAAGTGTTCCAAAATTTAAAAATAAAAGGCTGCCAATTTTGAAGGAGGCCTGAAATAAACAATGATTCTGTTACCAGGTTCAAGGCAAGGGTGTAGTACAAGTTCCCCAAACTCGTGTGCTTTATGCCCTAGCAAACACAGTGATGTCAGAAGTTGTGGTGGCGGAGATACCATACACAGACTATAGAACTGTTAATGAGCACAGAGCAGAAGACGCAGAAAGCTTTGGAATAAAGCCATGCCCTCCCCTGCTACCAGGGAAGAGCATAACCTGGCATGTGACCTAAAAGTAAGTATGAGCCTAACTATGGGAAACCAAATGGTCCTGGGACTCAAACCACCTATCACAAACTGTGCTGCTTCCACAAGCCAAGGAATGCCAGCAACCGCCAGAAGCTGGAGGTAAGCAGGGAGCGTCTGTCCCTCCCAATGCTTCCTCAGAACCAACCCTGCCAATACCATCATTTTGGACCTGTAGCCTCCAGAACTGTAAGACAATGAACTTGGCGTTGATGCCATCGATTTTAGGGTACACTGTTATGGCAGCCCTGGCAGATGAGTATAAATCCCCCCCAGGATGGTGCTGAAGAGTAGGGGAAGGAGAAATCCTCTCAGTGGCAGAACTCTGCACAGCACCCAGGGTTATCCACTTTGTGTGGAAGGAGAGATGGCCTGAGGTTTGCGTGTGTACCTGATCATGGGCAATGACTCACAAGGATTGATTTTAATGTTTTAATAGGACAGAACCAAGGATACAGCCTATTGGCTCTTGATTTTATAATTCTTACTTTATTATCTGGTCTTTTCAGTTCATCCATCGTTTTTACTTTTTAAAAAACTGGTTTTAGTGCTTGCTTCAGCAGCACATATACTAAAAACTGTTTGTACAGATTAATGGGCTTCCTTTTAGCAGACAACATAACATAACATACTTTGACCCCCCCCATCACTTCCTCCATTTGGGGGAGTGGGTACCAGGGATCGAACTCAGGACCATGTGCTTGCTAGGCAGGCAGTGGAACCACTGAGCTAAATCCCCAGCCCTACCTCCTCCATTTTTAAAGCATTCCCCAGAGTAGTGGTTGGAAGGAGAGGCATTACGTGACACAGAGAGAGAAAACACACACACACACACACACACACACACACACACACAAATATTAGCAGAGTCTCTCAAAGAGGAAGGCATCCCAGAACCACTTAGTAAACAACCTTTACAACCTTCCTAGATCCAGACACTCTGAACTCTAAATGTTCACATCATCCATTGTCCAGTGATGACTGAATTCCAAGTCAAGTAAAGATCAACCTAATCTCGTTCAGAATACTTTCCCGAACGCAGTAAAAGTGTTCATTATACATAAGAGTAAATTATCTTTAAAATACCAAAATAAAAAAATATATATTTAAAGTCATAAAGTGATTATCTGGGAAATTAGTTCCATGCAACAGTCCAAAAAGCCTATCAAATGAGGTGTAGCTTTTTATAGTTTTGTCATGAATTTCCAAATAAATTTAGCTATTTAAATTGCAAGATATGCTGAGAGATGAAATAATTAACATTTCATGCTATTTATACATAGTTTCAAACGCTCTTGCTATTCCAGTTTTGAAATTACTCTCTTAACCAAGAAATTTTAATTAAAAAATACTATTTTAAAATTCTATCCCAAATAAGTTTTGCTATTATACTCACTAATATGACTATGAAATGAATTATTCCGTCTAAAAGAATTACTCATATGTAAAGAGACACATCTTGTCTTGCACTTATAAAAATTCTTTTTGACAGAGAGGAGAGGGGTGACAAGGTCTCACTGTGCAGTTCAGGCTGGTTTTGAACTCACTGTCCAGCCCAGGCTGGCCTTGAATTCCTGGTGAACCTTCTGCCTCAGGCTCCAGAGTGCTGGGACTACAGGTGGAAAATTTCTTGCTTTTCATTAAATTAAGAAATATTTTAGTTTGTATCTTCTCTAAGCAACTTCCCTGTTTAAGTTTTCAATAATACATAATTAAGCCCACTTGCTTTAGTTAGCTGGTTCTATTTTATGAGACTTTGTTTTCTTAGTAAGAAAGAGAACATGGCACAACAGTTTAACTTTTAACAATGTTCTATTTGTCTCTTTCCTTCCTCTCTTCTTTCTCTTTTTAATATTACACACAAGTAAGGAAGTATAAGTTTCCTTGTTCTATATTTTATCCAGGATTGAAAGTTTAGGAGAATGGCTTTATGTACAAAGCACAACAGTGAAAATGCAAGAATAAAACCAAGAACTAAGAAGACCTTAAGCTTTCATCTCTGACTGGCACCTAGGCTCAGTACAAGCAGGAAGTAAAGGCTAAGACAAAGTTGTAAACAGAAAGTTGTGAATGTTGTAGGAATGCCCCAACACAGAGTATCTGGGTATTCCTCATAAATAGGTTCTGGAGGTACAATGAGTACCAAACAAAATGTTTTAGCTAGAAAGGGTAGCAAGTTACAAGACAATTCATATAGGCAAGTTCTTTCTTTCTTATCAAGTACCAAGCACATGATGAACAACAGGACAAAAGTTTTGCGTCAAAATGCAAGTAGTTTCAAAGTAGTAAAAAAAATCAAGGTATGACTCATTTGTTTGTTCTTTGCTTCTTATACTCTAGAAAACCTCTTATCAATATAGCAGTTGAACATGAACTAAAGAAATACTGCTTTCAGGACTATAGTCTTTCCAAGAAGAATTTACAAAAATCACTGAGCAGTGGATGATATTAGTTCTCAAC